ACGTATATAATCTGCATGTTCATATTTTACTAGAAAAGGCATACATAAGTAATTCTAAGGACCATAGCGCTTATCACGCTGCGCTGACCATGCAACGCTTGCACGGAAAGGCGAGTGCTTCCAACACTTTGCTAAGAAGACACGGTTATGGCCCCTACCCGTCGCCTTGCGTTCTACACCTTATCACCTCTGAGACAGGCACGCACACCCGTCTCAGGGCCATGCGCTTGTTTTCCAAAAAAAACTGCCAGATGGCACTCATGTCTTACGTGTGACATGACTTGATGCGCTCGTTCGCCTCCGCTGCACGCTTGAGGCCCTCTAACTCAGCGCCTTCGGAATACCATTCACCGATTTTCTTGCGCACAACATCAAATAAATGTTTTGTTCACTCTCTCTACAAGCCAGACTGTCGTCTTTCGACATTTGCAGATTACATGCAGATACGGGGCCATCTTTAAATGGCATTTAATTTGTAGTGCTAGGCCAAGTTCTTAATATTTCACGCATCATAAGTCGTTGGGTAATCAAATAAAGCTATATTGTTTTATGCATAACTGGAGACGATGTAGTTGACTGAAACATTTCTCACTAAATTGAGAATGGTTTATTTTAAAGCTGTTTTTGAACTTCTACCAGTATGATAAAATACACATTTTTCAGTGAAATTCTGAAATATAGAAATGCTTGATAAAGCCATGAAAATTCTTAAAAGTGCAAATACCAAACTCAATATCTTCAGAGTTTTATCATTTTCAGTGTAACCTGTCCACAGCTATAAATTCTTGTATTACAGATATCTTTTGCTGTTCATCATTTTTATAATTTTGAAATCTCAATTATTCTATAGCAAAGTGAACTAAACTACACAAAAGGTTGCATTCTTTTGCTCTGTTGAAAAAAAAAAAGGTGACAAAAAATCTATTCTTTTGCTGTGAGTGTGCTCAAAGCTTGGAAGATGTGAAATTGAAAGGGCAAAACTTTCAAGCGACTAAAATTCATAAACCTTTTTTAGGTAAATTTTTTTACAGAACAAATTTATAATTGTTTTGGTTCAAATACTTGTGCCTAGAGTAAATTTCATCACAACCAAAAATGGTTACTATGACCACCTGCTCAGTCCTCTCAGGATTTACTAGGCAAGGCTTTCATTCAAGGCAGAATGCATCATAATTCCTGCGAAAGGATTAGGCTATAGGGGCAACTGCCACAGCAAAAAGGACTAGCAGTTAGAGCAATGGAATGGGCTCCAAGGGATACTGTTGGGCTTGTGCAAATATTCGAACGCTTTGAATATTCAAACTATTAGTTGAGTATTTGAATTTGTTTCAATTCGAATTTAAATTATCAAATATTTTTGAAGTAATCGCAATAAACAAATAAATGTATAATAGTCCGCCTGTAAAGGTGGTTTCACTGCAATGTAGGTGTGCTAAACCGTGAAAGCATTTATTCAAGAAAAATAAGCTTTGCCGCGAAGCCCCCCTTTAAATTTTAAGGGGCCCTGCAACACTTACTGAGCATTGTCAGTAAACGCTGCCGATCGGTAGTCGAGGCTACGGAGAACACGCGAGGCAAATATTATTGCGCAGCATGCGGCCTGTAAATCACAATACATTTTCAAAGCTAAAAATGCTTTCTTCCCTCGGCAAATGACACAAGCTCAAAAATCACTTCTCACAGCCAAGAAGGAATGTACGGCTCTGGTCACAGCCACTTGCTGATTTGAGCATGGCGCGCTCGTCATTACCGCGGCCGCCGCTTGACCACGAGTATGTGCGCGATAACACAGAAAAGCCGCATATCCGGAAAAAAAAAAAAAAGACGTGCTCAAGGTCACGAGGCACGTGTGACGTATTTAATTTCGCCGTTCCATTCCTCCCTGCTTAGCTTCGAGCTATTTTGTTGGGACAAGAAGAGAGAATGCAATTGCAGCGTGCGACAAATTTTTGGAACTCCACTCGTGCTGGACTGATTCTAGAAACTTTGTGGCGGTAGATTTATGAGGCAACAAGGATGTTTACTGGCTGCATGGCTACTTCAAAAAGTATTGCAGGGCCCCTTTAAAGAAACATATTACCCTCAAATCAATTTTTCATTTTATTAAGCTTGTTATGACGGTTTATATACTTCAAGTATAATGAATTTTTTTTAAACGTGAAGTATCTTACAGGTTATCACTTGCATCTTACCGAAATTACTTCTCAAGGTTGTTTTAGACTTCCTTTGAACGAAAAAAAAATGGCATTTGCATAGAGCCCCTATTCCATTTCAAAAGAAATATTGTGCAGGTTAGTTATAAATATTCCCTCTTTTATTATATGCCATACATACCATTCGAATTCGATTCAAAATTATTTGATCAAAATCACTATTCGCTTCAAACCTAAAATTCACTATTCGCACAAGCCTAGATACTGTGTAGAGCTGCAGAAAGATGAATGGGGTCACTCAATATAAAATTTTGCACGCAAGTATTGTAATCTGCATGCTTGAGCCAGGGTAAATTGGAGATCACTGGCAAAGACCTAAACAGCAGTGGACATGATAGGCTGGTGATGACATGGTGGCCAGCAATGCTGTTTGTGCAGTACATGTTCTAGTGATCAGTACCACTGTGACACATAAGGAACTTGTGGTAATAGACATCAGCCATCGGCTGAGGTCACAGCTCATTATGGACAACCGAGTTTTAGTGCCAATGTCAAAAGGATACCGTCCATGTGTACAGACACGTCCACTGTTAAAGGGAACACTTGAGTGCATAGCATGTTTAGATTCCGTTATCTTACAGAAACACAGTAGCTTAGATAAACATAAGACCACTGGTGGTTGAAAGTTCCGGCTCTTCTTGACACACTGGTGATGTGCATGCAAACTGTTTTCATAATCACTTACTGTTAGAGGGCCAGCAATATTGGTGGTGTGCATTCAAACGTTCTCTTTAAAATTGGATGTTACTGTACATCAAGTAATTTGTTACGTGGCTTGCTGGGCATTGCTGGTTCGTACCATTCAAATAGGTTACCAGTTACAATCAAACGACTGTGATGCATAATTGAGCAGGACAAGCACATATCCCATCCAGTTGTTCTTCATTATTGTTCTTGTTTTACTTTGCCGATAAGCTCTTTTGAACCGTAAGTTCTGAAACATACACAGCGTAAACAGAGGATTTCGACATGAGGAAAACAATGCACAAATTGCGAGCACACGTACATGAGTGAAACACTCCTGCAAAGAAACCCTGCCTCTTTTTTTCTCTCTTAATTTGATAATTTGCAATGTACTTGGGTGAACGTATGTGAAGCGGGCTTCTTAGATTTTTGTGCAGAACACCAGAAACTTCAAGTGTGCTAGTGCACTATTGTTTTCACGCTCAGCACTGACAGTTGATGGGACGGAATCACGCATGCTACAAGGGTAAAAAAAATTATCGCCAGTTGATTTCTACACATCAGTGGTACTATGAGTGGACATGGCTGCCAATGTATATCACCTCCCAGAGACAATGCGCAGAATTTGCAGATATCCTACTGCACAGAACTATGGTACCTTGTCAAGGCACAGAATGAAAGCTTGATCTTTCAGCATTCCTAATACCATATTCATGGTCCATTTAAATGCACTTTGGGCTGTTTGCAGTCGAAGAAACACTCGATTGAAAGAAAATGAACATCTTTTTATTTTGTGCGCACAGCAGATATGCTATAATAAAGGCATTAAGGCATGACCACATGGTAGCCATGATGCAGCAGGCACTTGAGCTCCATTGTCTTTCACTTCTCGGGTGCCTTGTACTCAATGCCACTCCAGATTAAACTTGTAGAAGCCAGAGAGTTCATAAAAAAATGTTTTATAAAAGGTGACCGTTTGTGAATGTCACTTCTAAATGTTGGCATATCAAGATGTGGCAGTCTTGGGCTAATTCTGGGCATAACGTCGGGAACACTAGGGGGTTACAGTTAAAGGAGCAGTCTTCGCTGTGCTGTCCACACATGACAAATCAGTAGGTTTGCAGCTAATCACAGCATCCATCCATGCTGATAGCTTGATCGCTGTACTCTGCAGAAGTTGCATTTTCCAGCTCACCGTTCTCAATGTGTGCTTCACGTGTTGCATTTTCAATGCAGGCGGAAAGCCCATATACTTTTATTTAGGTGCACATAAAAGACCTCAAGTGGTTAAAGTTTTCGGAGCCCTCCACTATGATGTACCTCATAATCATATTGTGGTTTTGGCTCATAAAATCCCATCAGTTGCTAATGCTCTTATAGTTCATCAATGAGCTTCGAGAGCTTGTCATTGCTGCCAGATAGACGATCAAAAATAGCTGACAGCTTGGGCTTGTTGACGGTAGGATCTGTAAGTAACAGCTCGACTTCCCGCACATTTTCATGCTTTGTGCTCAATGAGCTGACTGTTTGATCTTTAGGCAACTTATCCAATCAGCTCTTGAAGTTGAGGTTTGGTGCCCACTCCAATCACGAAAAATCTATTATCAGTCTTTGCCGCATACAGCGCAAAGCAGTCAAGTATAAGGCCCCTTGATACATGCGATAGACAAGTGTCCAAATGGAGATTTTTGACACCACATTGTAGAAAAGACTAGCAATACGCAAAGAAACTAGAACGAGGACTAGTGTTTGTTCTAAATTCCATTGCAGTGCTTGCTGGCCCACGTTTATTGGCAAAAGCCATAAATGCCTCATCAAACATTAAAATTGACCAGCGCCCCGCTTCACTGTCTCCCACTGGCGACGTCATTACAGGTGACGCTAAAAATAATCCTGTGAAAACAGATCGCAAAAATTTGCAACATCATGGCATCGCAGTGATTTCACACGACGTAACGTCACACAGTGAAGTCATCACTCAATATTGAAGGTTGGTCAAAGGTGAGCCAATCGCAAAGGCAGTGCGAAATTGGGTGAGGTGCCTGTGATCCTGGCAGCAGTTTAGGTGCAGAAAGCTTTTGGAGGGTCGTGGGGCAGGACCGATAGATCGACTAAAATGGCTTTGCCTTCCGTTGTGTAAGGTGAGTGCGTATGGGACCCCGTGAGTTTGTTGTCTTTTTCCACATTTTATCTGTATTTTATTCAGTAAACTTAAACCACTATCTTTTTCCTGATTTTTTATGCCCTGAGAAAAAATTTAAAAAAAAAAGCTTTTTTTCGAGCTTTCATATTTTGAGCAAAGGAACAAAGAAAGCAGATTGCATGAAAGGACACCAACTATGCTTGCTCCCTGCAGACAGAATATGAATTATCTTTACTAACCTAAAACAGATTAAATGTGAATATTGTCATGCTTTTATTGTAAAAGTCTTATCGCAAAAGTCCATTCTACTAATAGCATGCACTGCAAAAGACAGGCACACCTAAAAAAGTTAATTTGCAACAATGTGCCACGATTCACATGCAAAGTTGTTAAAAAGAAAGAAAAAAGGAGGAAGAGGAGAGGAAGAAGGGCAATACACAGTTACATCTTCAATGTGTTCTTGTAACACACTGCAGTATCCACAGTGTGGACACTGGTAGAAAAACTCTTGAGGTGGACTGTCTCGTTGCCTTCAATGAGAAGTGGTGGCGAGTCTTCCCAATTGTTTGGCAGTCTTGATTTCTTGTTGGTATAAATGAGAAGATCAAAAGCACCTGAGGAAAAAGAAGGCAGGCAGCAAGGTAAGATAGTTCCTCTCTCTCTCTCTCTCTCTCTCTCTCTCTCTCTCTCTCTATATATATATATATATATATATATATATATATATATATATATATATATATATATATATATATATATATATATATATATAGACATACACACACACACACACACACACCCAGCACCTCCACCACGTATGACGTCTGGGTTTGAGACAGTATTTATTCAGCCTAAGGGCTCGGCAGCAAACGGGCAGTCGAGACAGAGTGCGCACACACACGATTATGATGGTGGTGAAAACCAGTGAAGATGAGGACAGAGACCCAGACGGATGATGATGATTATGATAATGCATATATGAGAAGAAGTGCATAACGAATGCCCACACTATATGTGTGTATGTGTGCATGTTTTTCTTTTTTATGGCTATGTGAATCAGTCAGAATAAAATAGGGTGGGTCAACAGATATAGTAGGCTTGGTAATTATATGGCTTGGCTCTGCACTCCCGATGTGCATTCAGAATCTTAAGGGAAGATTTTACTTGAATTATGGACGAATCATGACACAAGCTCCTCTTTATTTTTCATTACTGTAATTTGTTTTGATAAAAAAATTGAGAGCACAAAGCAAGCATTTCATGATACTGCGTTTCAGGTGAACGTTAGATGCCTTTCAGCTTGAGGACAATCTATGCCTTCCTGCTAGTGTAGAGGCATTTTATTGAAATGGCGGGTAGTTCACACATATTAGAGCACAGCTGTTATGAGATCACAACAAGGGTCGCGAGTGCCGCCGGTGTCCATAATCACTATCGCGCTGAATTACAAAAAACTTCGTAAATAAAAAACACAAAGGACACAATGGTATTCGAACCCAGGTCCCCTGTGTGCCAGGCCCAGTATTCTACCACTGAGCCACGCTGCTGCTTGGAACTCCTTTGCAAACTAGATTTAGGCAAGCTTGATGTTTGGGAAGAAATCTTGTTAACTTGAGTACTAAAGCATTTTACAACAGCAAAGGAACAACCAGGCATCTCACAATGTAAATTGCGTAATTAGTGAGTCGTCGAATGCTGCAACCTATTACAAAAGCTTCAGGCATAATTTTTCATCGTTGTCAGCCACAGCAAAAGAAAAATTGCACAAAGTTTCTTGCAAGTGTGTAATGGGTACCCCAGTTCTCCAAAGAGTGACAAAGGATGGCATAGCGAATGCCTGGCGAATCCCTACAGTGGGTATGAGCCACAAGAGAAGGTGAACAGGAATGCCTGCCTACTACATAAAAGTTATGATGAATTATAGCGTAGTGAGTTCCCTGCAAGTGGGATTGCAGCAGCTATCCAAAGAGAGTAAAAAAGGGGCTCTGAAAGGCCGCTCTTTCAGATTTCACTGTGAAAGTGCTGTGCCTTCCGCACAGGCCTGGCTTTTTTTCTTTTTTCTAAAAAAATACCAGCATGATTTCATTCCCCAATACGGTGACTGAGAAACACAAAAAGCAAGTGATGTTGAAAGGTGTTCAGTTCAAGAGGACAAAAGAGGGAAAAAAAAGGTAAGTGGCAGTGTTGTCCGAGACTGGGAAGACTATCACCATATTGGCTTTTGCTCAGGCACTCAATTTTTTTGCAGTGCAACAATATAACCTCAAGTACAGCACTGCACTCTGCTATATTACCAGATGCAAAGCAGTTTAGGGTCGAGCTCAATTCGGTGTGCAGCTTGACCACATTTAGTGCGCATCCGCTCCCCCTTTCTCGCCTCGCATGCTGACGCAGGGAGCTCCTGCTAACCTATGCTTGCTCCCCCCCCCCTCTCCTCTAGGCATTCCTCCCGCAGCATTTACACCTCCTTTGAACATGCGCATTCCCTCTCCATATCTTTTCTCTCCTACGCTCCGACGCAGGCAGCGTCTGCGCTCGAGTGTCTTGATTGGAAAAACCAACTGTTCGGGCTGCACAGCCGTTCACTGGCCACCCCATATATATAGGCACTGGATCTTGATCGAAGGTAGTGCCTGTAGGAGATTGCTCCTGCACGTTGTTGAACAATAAAATTTCACAGCATGTGCATTAACTAAAAGCAGACTGCGGGTCTCCGTGTCCCATCGGAGTCTTCTGTTTCTCACTGTCCATTAGCAGCAATTGACATGTTCCGGCACAAAACACCAGTCCACCACTGCATGCTTTGCGGCTCCCCAGGTTTCTCTCTTTCACAACGCCACGATGAGTGCCAGTGTCGACGTCACTGCCAGTGTAAGCATTAGCACCCGCTGCTTCACATCTATACATGGTTCCGTTTTTGGGAGATGGTGTAACTTTTTGTGTTCAACTGTTACCCATTTAATTTCTCATGTAAAATTTTTTTATCAAAACGCAAGTGAAATTCAAAAGGACCAAGAAACACCTGCTCATCTACAGGCATCGACACCATGTGACATCATTCACTAACCGTTTAAAAAGGCCCTGCGACACTATTTGAACATGTATTTTTCATCGCTTCACCTGGTGCTGTGGAATGCACCAATATCATTGTGCAAATGGCAACGCCGAAATTGATGTTGTTACAGTTTGAATTCACAGGACAAACTACCTTGATATCAGACTATGGCGACACACATCGGCTATTTTTGTTATGAGAAGTGACGACGTGTCATGTGACGTGACGACAAATATTGTTCGCTTTTGATTGGCTTGACGCGACAAATAGCATGCAATATTCATATGGTGGTAGCTAGACCATACGAGTGAATGCTGAATGCTAAACACAGCAAAAACCCTTTTTACACTTTCTCAGAAAAAAATCATTCCTGTTTCTAAACGATGCATTCTCAGAACAACAAACACAACACTTAGCCTGCGAACGAGGCTATGGTACGCCAGCAACTAAGGGTGGAAACACATGCCACGTTTTTAGCATGCCAAAAATGCGACAAGTGATGAGTGCCGGTGTTGCCATAGAACGCGTCTGGCAAGCAAACCAAGAAGTGGCCCCGCCCAAAGCGCATGCGTGTATCTTACACAGTGTGACCGTGGGGACGTCCACTGCCCGACACACGTGGCTCGTAGTAACCATGCTAACAACGCCATCAAAAAGAGTGGTAGCGAGGCATTCTTTGAAGGTCACCACGAGGTGACATTTCCAGTATGTCTTTACGAGACGCATGCTGTGATTGGAAGTGGTCTTTGACGTCAGCAGGCGAGTGAAATGCGAAAGAGAATGTTTCTCCTCGTCTGCTCGAGTTTCGAACTTTGAGGACTCATAGCTTTCCTTTCCGTGCACCAATTTCCATAATTCTTGTTGCATTCATCTCGGTAATCATTGCTACACGTGTTCCAGTGCCGAGTAAGGCTGTTTGAAAAGTGTCGCAGATCCCTTTAAGGCAAGTCACTGCCTTTAAAATGCATTTTTAGGGAAAAAAAAAGTTTTTAATTTAACATACTCAAGCTCTCTGTCCACTCAAGAATATTTAGCTAAATAATTATGTAGTTATATTGAGCCATTCAAAAGTTATGACCAGCAATCTCGTCATAATTGCATCTTCATATACATATTACGCAACTCTAAATTATCTTAACGCATCTTAAAGCTTGTGGGGCATGATTTTTCAATTTCTTTTAAAATTTTAACAACACGGCCGTGGCACTCTTTTAGGCTGGATGAGTTTTCGCTTGGCTGTGTGTTCCTTTTCGCATGCCATTTCAAGCTATTTTAGACTGTGCTTTCAAGGAGAAAGCTATAGCATACCATGAAATATAGCATAGCGATGTAGTGTCAATGTGAGTTATTAAATCAATATACCAAGTGTGGGCCCACTATGGAGCATGTCGATGAGAGTCACCTGGAAACGCAAAATGACCTATAAAAAAATATGTGCTTCAACTCGCTCAAAAGGAGATTGTGCTGCTTCGGAGGAGTTCCCAAGCTATGAACTTGCCCTGCTGAATTTCCGACATACTGAATTTTTTTTTATTAAGATTCGGTTGAAATCTTTAAATTTTTTTTACAAAAACATTTTTTCAACCTATGTCTATGCAAACGGCAATACATTTTCTTTTAATAAATAATTTCACAAACGTTTGAGTGTTATTTCTTTATAGTTGGAACTCTGCGTTCAAGCAGAGTGATTGAAAACAAGATGTAACTTTTTGTGGCCAAAGCAAACTTGCCAAATATCGATTGCATCAGTACCTTCATAATAATGTACGTTAGCTAAGAGACGTCATGATCATGGAGGTCAGATGCAAACGACATTGCCTTCACTATGTACCTACCAAGCCGTGCTTGCATGCCACCAACCGCTCTGCCGACTGTTAGCACAACATGCATATTAGATGCAAGCAGCTCTTACACTAGCCTGTGTAACGCTGTCTCTCCGTCTGCACCGCTCCCTTTGCCACAGGTGTTGGAGCGGGGCCAAGTAGCTCACGCCCTCCTAGCAGTGCGCAGTGACCTCTCTCCGTCGCCTGCCGCGGGCTCGCCATGTGTCACCTTCACCTTCTCTACCGCTCGCAACGCTCAAGCCTACTCCTCACGTAGGCATCATCTAACCCGCGCCACCTTTCTGCATTGCCGGCACCTCGAGAATTTCACGGTGCTGACAATGTGGACAGTGCGCTGCTGCTTGCCAGACGACCGCACCGACGGGCGGCACGCCATCGCAGAATGCTTCCCGCTAGTGTGCGGGTACCTTTCCCGGCTGTCGCCGGCTTTGCGAGGGTTAGCGAAGCCAATCACGTTTGCAAATGGCAACGTCAACACCGACGAGGCGCAAGCCAGCGAAGCCGAACACAAGTGTCGGCAGTGGAAGACCAGCGACGCTGACGAGGTGCAAGCCAAGAACACCGATCGAGTTCAAGAATACAGAAGGCGTGCGGGTAACATCGACGAGACGCAAGCCAAAGAAGCCGAGCGCAAGCGTCTTCAACCCGTCCCGCCTCCCGTGTCTTTGCGTTTCAAAGAAACGTTTACTCGAGTAAACGCTACACCAAGTTTCACTTGAGACTGTTTTTCCAGCCCCCACATCGACGCCCATTTCAACCGGGTCAACGCCAGCGCACCACTGCTGCTTCGCATCCCATTAGGGTTCCCTTCGGGGAGATGGTCCATAGTTTTTGGGGCATATTTTGGTCTTTATCAATTTTATTTTTTACATTTTAGCAATCTCATCATTTTAAACTTCAAATTTACCTAAAACCTATAAGCCAAAACCATAACTATAAGTTTTCAACTACAACTGTAGAATTTTTTTCTCGAAGGTGGTGACCTACCTTGAACAATAATGGCAAGGATGACAAGGTGCAATCGACAAGGATTAGTCCACCTATCAAAATGTAAGCCAGCCTGTCTGAGGCACCTTATCACTAATTTTACTATTTTTATTTCACAATCATGAGGTAAGTGATGAACCAAAGCAGAACAGGCTGCTTTGCACACATTATACCCCAGCAAATGTGGTCAAGTATGACATACGTATTAGTTTATGCTTGGCAAAAGATACTGTTCATGGCAAGTACTTGTTGAGACTGAAAGCTTTGAAACCTTTTATCATACAATAAATTTTACAAGTAAAAGATGAAAGCAAGCAAGAATTTTGTGTATTTTATTGCTCTACTGTACATTTATATTGATTGATGCATACATTTACCTCAATAGGCAAAATTAAGTATTGTAATAAATTTACGCTTCTTAATTGTAAGACATATGCAGGAGCTTCAGGGAAAGCAAGGTAAGGAAAAGGATCTTAAAAGAAATTATAAACACAAAGGTAAAGTGCGACTAGTGGTTTGCCACTGACAAACACTGATATAGTCATGGTAATATCAGCATATATTTTAATTGAAAGACATTTCATTAATAATATCAAAGATCAAAGCACTTTTTCTGTAAGCCAGAAAACACAAAAACCTTACATGCTGTCTCCAGAATAGGCAAGTATGTGACACTTGCCACAATTTGCCGAATGACGCTCTTAATCTCATTCTGGATATCACTCAGCTCCTTCTCCTTTGGCTTGCTGCATACAATAAACATTATATGCAAATTAAGTCCACATCCCAAAAGCACTCGTGCACAGCAGTCATGTGAAAGTGACCTGTATGCTCTTTAAGGGGACAGGGTACGCAAAATATGGGGGAAAAATCTTTTTTTTTTTTAGCGTTATTTGACATCTGCAGCCTTTTCTGAACCAGAATCAGTCATTATATTGTCCCTCTAAAAGTGACATATTTCAAAACTTGAGCGGTGTCCTACCATGCCCCAATTCTTACATAGCAAGACATTCTTGCAGTTCAAGCATCACAGTTGTATGAAGAAGTTACAGTTTGCAAGCTGGAGTGCATTTGGCACATACAGAAAAGAATGGGCACAGAACTGCGAGAGCAAAAGAACAGTGACATCAAGCTTTCAGTCAGGAACTCTATATCTGGTCGTTTTAGTGGTGTTATCATTGACAAGCACCAAAACTATTATCGTCGGGCCAATAAAAGAAATAGAGCCAGCTTGAAGGACATATGAAAAGCTGTCCGGTACACATATTTTCACATGGCATCAAAGGATACCAACCAATCCCACAGCCTTTGCTCAATGAATGCCGAAACTTGGTGTAAATTCAACAAAGCCCACTTAAATGATGAACCACTCGCTCATAAAGAACACCTTCTAGCATCTGTTATTGAGGCTCTCAAGCCAAATTATCTGGAACTAGGTCATCTAGAATTACTGGCTAAATGCCTCCATGGAAAAGCTCAAAGCCATAATGAGTCATTGGATTGTCCTATGAGAGCACGCTCTGAAAAACAAAAATTTTTCCTTGGACACCAAACACTAAATATGCACTCTTGATGCTGTGTTCACTTTCAATGATGGCAATATAGCTCGTGTGAATGCGCTGAACTATTTAGGAATTTCGCTAGGGCACTGCACAGTACAGCACCTACGTACCCTAGAACTGTGTCGACTGACGCGGCTGCATAGCAGGTGACAAGTGAGGCTCGCCAGGCAAAATGTTTCAACATAAAAAGAAAAAAATTATATTGGTGATAAGTGTATGGCTGGTGCCTATTGAGAGGATCTGTTTATTCGCTGTTATATCGTACTTTTGAAATAATGCCGACATTTATCAACTTTAAATTGCGATTATATCAAAACATTCTTTTTGTTTTTATGTTCCTTTTTATCAGCAACCACAGTATCTAGAATCATAGATTTCAGCCATCATTTAGATAACATAATAGAGAATATTGCAGAAGCATAATTATGGTTGTGCAAGGAAGTGCTCTTCTACAACATGACATCTAACAGCTATTATTGAGTGATAATTAGGTTCCTGAAGTAAAAATATTACAAAAATAGAGCATTACAATATTCAGTGCTAAATCTGCTTCATTAAGAAGAGGAATGGCTCATGATTACAATGACAGTAAAATAATCACTGGAGCTGTTATGGTTATGGATAAAAAGGTACATGAATTTCGCCTAAAATACAAGGCGAGTATAGGACTTACCCTGTTCCCTTAAGCTCAAGGTATGAAGGGCAGAACACGTTGTTCTGGGCCAGATATGGGAGGCCATAAAAGGACTGTTGCATGTTACACTTCAATAACTGTTACAGGCTTGTGAGTCATTCAGATTCGTCTGAAGCTAGCATTGGCATTTGTCATAGCACACTGTGTCATTGTATATTTACATGTATGCCTTAAGCAACCATTCATTTAAGTCTGTGAAACTTATGCAAAAGCTTTTTGATTGCATGCTACATAAGGCATAAGGCTGCTTCAAACTTTTAAGATTTGGGCAATACGTTTATGAACTGTGTGACCACTTTGGTAGTGCTTAGCTAAGGAGTCATTAAATTTATGCATCTGTGAGCAAAGTTAACAAGTTTTATTATTAATTTACTAATATTGACCTCGCATAACATGCACATTCAAGCAGTTTGAAAAATAATTTTTAGAGTAAAGAAATTTCTGTGAGAAATAAACGCTTTCAGTTTCATCACAGGCTCACAAAAACTGACAGCTGGCTAAAACCAACGATTATTTATAGCACCTATAACTCCGATCTCTCCACCCTGGCCTTTTGTCACACTGACAATGCTACCACAAAAATATCGGTGTAAGCTAATGCCTTATTCTTCACTTAAAATCGTAGCAGCATGTCTTCATGGCATAGGTGGGCTAAATATACACCATCGTTCCATCATGAGCTGCTCCTGCACTGCATAAATGTATCCAGCTTTCGACACTTGCAGCCACCGGCATAAAAATTTGGTTTCATAAAAATGAAAAAAAAAATGAGGGTGGGCATGGCTTTTGTATTTTATTCAATACTGACACACATGAACAATTGCAATTAAGCCTATAAAATTAGTCGCATTTGTAATCGTTTGGAAGGAGAGCTGTGGGGGATAGGCTTTGTAATTTCTCCGTGTTTTGGCAAAAGCTCAAGTGCACAGGCAAGAGGAAGAGCAATAAAATTTCATCACTATGAGACACAGTAATTGGAACTGTATGCAAGATTCACTCAAGCTCTATAAGAGCAGATTTGGGTAAGCTCTGCCCACATACTCACCTGGTATTTGTCATTTCTTCATCTGACTGAATTCTGAACTCCCAGCGCTCTAATGCTTCCTTTGTCTCAGCACTTGATATCACCAAAACAACTTGATGGACAGCCTTTGCCTCGAGCCAATCTGCAAGGTCATCAAGCAAAATTATCAATAAGCTTCCTTGCATTATATAAAACATAAGTTTTTGTTTCATTTTTGTTTGACTGTATTTCGTTTAACCCTTTGCAGTCTAAAACTTCTACCCACTTTCCGGCTCTACCGATTGCAAGCTTGCCCATGGGCAACTTATGTATCGCTGAGCTCATGGATTGGTCATTTGCTCTACGAAATAGTGCCTTGGCCTTCCAGTGATGGAGTTTCAACTGCGCCAGTCCGCATTTTCATTTTTTTTTTTTTTTGCTGCCCTCTGCCGTTTTGCAGAGCTCGATACTACCGGGAAGTTGTATTGCCAGAACGAAAGGCTCTTAGATAAATAGGCATTTCGCTGCTCTACCGGTGGGGGAAGGGTGCTCCTCGAATTGCTCTTCCTCCCCGCACCGTCGTGACATGTGCTCATGTCGGGGACGTCCTCCTCAGTGATTGGCTGTGCGGCAATGGCGTATCGCTAACGTTGTGTCACACTGCCAAAGTGAACAGAGTCACGACGGGCTATGCCTTCCCTCGCCCTATGATGGAGAAGGGTGGCGTGGCCGCATGAAAATTTGAAACCAGCTGAAACGGTTGTTCTACCCTCTTTAACTTCCTTATTATAGCATGTATTCAAACAAAAAATCCTTGCAGCAGGATGTTCACACAGCAAAAGTGCACAAGTTTCTCTTCATAACATTTTTCGGACCACGGGGTTGTTTAGTGGCCCTTGTAAATGCCTTATATTACTAACCTTTGAGTTGTGCCAAGATTGTATCCAAATACTTCTGCAGGGATTTGTCACATGTTACAAGAATACTGAGACCATACTTCTGAACAGTAGCAAACATCTCTGGTGGGTAGACTCCACGCTGGTAGAGTATGCTGTTGATGCCATAATCTGTACAGAAAACATAAACTAGCTTTAAACTTCACACATGGCCAATTTTGAACAGCATGAGCCACATTTACTCAATTGTAATGCGACCACCGATTGTAATACCAGCAATGACTTTTCATTGCGTCTAGGAGAGAAAAAAACAAAAAGCAAAGAATTGCGTGCACTATTACGCTTTTTAGACTACTTGAATTTTGGTAATATCAGTATTCAATTGTTACACGAGGCTCGACTTCAGGTAGCAAAAATCTGGGGAAAAAAAACTGCTGTTTTATTCAAGTAAATACGGTATTATGACTACCTCATTTTTGTAAGGACATCCACTTTTGCCAGATTTCCACCCAGCTTAACATAATGTCAAGTTGGTTCCTTAATGACATACTACAGAAAAATAATACCCATACTGTTCCGTCATAAATATTGACACTAGCGTAGTTTGAGGTCATTCATGCAGTATCACATTGATGCATATAATGGCAAGAAATTTTGATATCACTTGCACAGTTTCGAATTTGCCCACTCACACATGCAAATAGCTATAGCTGCACATGAACACATTTCTGAAGTAAACATCAGTCTATAGAAAGTATGTTCATCAATGATTTTAATAGAATTTCTGGCAATTTCATCAATGCTGCAATGAATCCAGCTATCATGATGGCATTTGCCATGACTAAAATATGTAGTGCCAGCTTCAAGGGGGCTAACGGTCAAGTTTTATGAAAACTGCTTTCTTTTGTGCAACAAAAAGCTGAACGATCATAGTGTCTAATCATGGAATAGTAATGCAGAAAATGTCATGAAACATTTATAATCAAAATGCTTCGATCTGCTGTGACAATGAAGCCATATACACACAACAAATGCTGCTAAAAGCGGGAGATGAGCATGACAGGGGTTTGGGTTTGTGCGGTGCGTGGAGGTCTGTTGTGTATGCATGCACTCGGCACACATATACCATGACTCTACAACATGTTCCACTAGCTTCCATGAACATGTCCCACTAGATACTTCTCAGTGTGTAATTCCTTTTACCTCATATGCACTGAATAGAGCATCTAAAGATCATAATATTGCCACCCGTAGATTATAGCGGGTGACATGCTCATGCAGAGGCACAGGACACAAAATAAATGCACGTGCTATCCGTCTCTCGCATGCACGCCCAAGCGACGCGTCTGGCAAGAGTCCTGCTGCTCTATCTCTACGTCCAATAAACCTCACCTGGACTTTTAAAGGGACGTGACAATATACATACTCTAATGTTCAGCAACAATCACAGTGCACATGAAAGCATTAGATTGCACACAGCAAAGACTCCATAATCCACCTTCAAGAGTTTCGCTATACTTTTAAACTTGATTTTAAATTATAAATGTTACTCAGATCACAAAAAGTACATCAATATGTCATTATAATTTATTATCATTTCAACCATGATCTAAACACATGCTCTTGTCTGTTGTCGGTGCCTTTAGTTAAGTGGTATTGAGGTCCTAACACTTAATGGCATTAATCATGCTCTATTTGTCAGACAATACAATACTATCCTTTATAAATACAAGAGCATTTGTTTCACCACTCATACCCACTCTGGCCTGGCTGTCTATCCAGCTTTGATGGCGTGACTGCATAAATGTAAGAACAGACTCCTAGAGGAATAATGTCTGGGTCTGTATGGGAGCACCTCTCATGGTGAGATGCTCCCAAACCTAACGTACAGGTTGGTCCTTCTTGAAAGGATATGCATGAGTGTATGTTTTTTTGCACCATGGCAGCTGCTTCGTGCGTACGTCAGCAAATAGCAGCAAGAGAAAGCACATCCACTTTTGAGTTTCTATTGGTGGCTAGAATAGACATTGAAAGAGACGCACGCTAACCATATTAAAAATAATTAAATGTAACATCGATTACTCTGTGGCATTGAATACTGTACAATACACATATATGTATCCACATGATTTGCCATAACTTCATATGTGGCTCACATCTCAAGCAGGGACAATTTGATGGATATGTAGGGTTTAACATCCCAAAACCACCATATGATTATGAGAGACGCCATAGTGGAGAGCTCCGGAAATGTCGACTATCTGAGGTCCTTTCACATAGTTTCCAAAAATTAACTAGAGGGGACTCTGGCGCTGCGATCGTTCAGGGACCATGGGAATGATGCGTAGTACACGGATTTGCCCAGTCTTCGTACTTGCGGAGGGCGAATCGCACTTGTGGCTTCGTTTATTGCTGTGTTTCCATTTTGTTTCAAAGGAAAAAACAAACCATTTCGAACTTCGTGGCCCGAATTGAAATGGTAAGACTAAACAAATAATGTGGTGAAGCGCAAACGCTGAACATTTGCCGATTTTCGTTTCGTGAGAAAGTAGCTCTAAGCCACACAAACACACACGAAGCTAGAAGTATGAAGATTAGACAAATTCATGTACTACCCATCATTCCCATGCTCCCTGAAGCACCATGCATTTCAGCTCCCATACACGTCACTCTGGGGTTTTGTGAATACGCAGCGCCACTTGTCGATGCAGTTTTGAGTAGTGCAAAGCCGAACTCCCTTGCAGTTTGCTGCGCACCAGGTGCAACTACAGCGTACGAAACAACGATTGAGCAAAATATTAGGTGCACTTGCACATTCAACACTTAAAAAAAGAGCTACGAATTTCTCTTCACTAGTCGGAAGCATCACTGAATCGCCGTGAAGTGTTTGCTGCTTCACTCGCCAAAACAACAGCGAAAACAAAGCCGACGCAACAGCTCTACACTCTACAAAAAAAGACTGCAGTCTATGCTAGTGTTGCGCTGTGTATTGCTACAGATGTAAAGGGCTTTAGTTTTACTGATTTCCGCAGCTTTCGCGATGCAGAACGGCAAGGGCACTGGATACGTGTCGTTGTGAACGTGTTGGGTAAGCGAATTATTCGCGTTCTCCACAGCCATTTGCATGAGAAAGTGTGGTAATGTAGTTCTCTTGTAATCGTTTTGAGTTGCCTTGACGGAGAACCATGGCAACTTTGATTATGAAGCTTAACAGAGCCTCTAACCGTGGTGCACACGATAAACATCGCACACGCCCACAACCACATATAATCTGAAGTTGTCACCGCCACACAGCATTATGCACGTAGTGCTTTCAAGGCTCTAAGTTCCGGCTTTAGTTAGTAAATGCGAACACATACGTCATCAGGTAGATCGCAATATGATCATGACCACAATTGGGTTTTTCTTGCCGTTAGTCTCTGCGATTGCCAGAGCTATTTCGGGGGCCTCGGTTTTGCCTTTCATTGTACACCTATAAAGTGGACATGCATGTATCCCCATTTGCAGTACATATAAACGGATGACAACCATCAACAGAACATTCTAGCATGGATAATAAAACACTGTTCAATGCACAGGAAGCAAGAGATCACGATGGAAAATGCCACTGCAAAGGCGAAAATCGCCAGTGCTATTCGTGCCGGATAAAGATAACTTCATACCACTGATCATAAGATACATTGCTTGTGTATGCACTTCATCACTTTGAAATCATGTGTGTATGCCCAAGTTTAACGCATTCAGGCGTTGCAAAAAGCACGTTTAAGTGCTTGCCTCAGACTCGATGTCATGCGATGCTCGCTTACACTTAAATTGCCAGTTGCAGTACGCCGAAATAACTGAAACACATTTTGTATTGTACCCGCAGTTCATTTTCATGAGCAGTATACTCTCCTAAGGCGTGGTTAGATTGGAGGAAGATGCTTGCCAGGTCCTTGATTTTCAGAAAACCGTGCCTCAAGGCCAACGAATGAGAAGGGCCTATGCATGTTCACTTGCGCACGGCTCTCTTTGCACTACCCATTTATGGCCGGCGCGCCGAGGGGGCCTGTGGTGGCGGCGTTTTTCGCAGCGCCGCCTGGGCAGAGTCTGACATCTATAGACACTAGAGCCAGAGTTCTCTCAAGTGTATATTTAGGAAACTAGGTGTTCTTTAATGTGCACCCAAATCTGAGCACACGGGCCTACACCATTTTCGCGTCCACCAAAAATGCAGCCACCACAGCCGGGATTCAATCCCGCGACCTGCAGGTCGATCCCGCAACCTTACCCACTAGACCACCGCGCCGGAAAGAGCAGGGACAATTTAACCGCTACAAACTTTACAGGGAGAACTACAAAGAGCCTGCGGCGATGACTTGAACACAACGCGTGCGGCGCTTCGCATGTGCAATTTTTTACTTAGATGAGAAAAAAAAAGGGCCATCGTCATGGGTTCACGTTACCTCGCGAGCAAAATTTAAGTGCAAAGAGCTGCCACAACTATCAAGGACACTGGCAGGCACTGACAAGCGTAGCAAGTACGCGAGGCCATCGGTACGTTCACAACAGCGTTGGTATTACAAAATGCCTTGCTGTTACAGCGTTCTCAGGTTTGATTAGCCCAGATGTAACATAATAAAATGGAAAGCAACACAGCACAAGGACATAAAATTACTTGAATCTCGGGCGTCATTTTATAAAACGGAGTAAAAACATTCCAACTTACTGAAGAACTCCGCCACGATCTGGGCAGAACCTTTTAGGGTGATGGCATTTTGAGTAACTGTTGAAGCCTGCATGGCCGTTGGCTATCAAATATTTACCATATAAGCTAGAATACGTTTTATCGACAATGACCATAGACATTGGGAGCGGATTAACCGCCTTGGCCCGCGTCACAGGGTTACCAGATGCCGCGAACCTCTAACAGCCAAATATGACTCCGTTGCATCGTCGTGCTCTGTTATCGTTGTAGCCCAAACCAACGCCTCCTCTGTTTAGATGCCTGTCCACAGCCTGCCACGTGAGAGCAGCTGCCACACTCTTTCTCTCTTTCATTTTCGATTGGATAAATGGATGGATGTGGCTGTACCCTTTAGATCGGGCGGCGGCTACCGTCACCTAGCCGTAATACTTAGTGAACTAGCTATTAGATTTATCTTTCTTTATTCTTTAAATAGTGAGGTTGAGGATTCGTACTTTGCAGTGAAGGGTTTAATTTTCACTCGTGCCTTGACTTAAGCCACCAATCAGATAACCTCCTTCTAGTTAAGTCTACCCGCTTAAAGTCTATTTTGCCCTCCCTGTCTCTAAACCCCAGTGCTTTGAAAAACTCTGCGCCATCATCCTGAATTATTGGGTGAAGCCCTTTACAGAACATTATCAAGTGTTCGGCAGTTTCTTCTTCCTGTCCACACGCACTGCATACTGTGTCTACCCCTTCGTATTTGGCCCGATATGTCTTGGTTCGCAATACTCCCGTCCTGGCCTCAAACAGTAGAGAACTACCTCGAGTATTATCATAGATTCTTTCTTTGGCAAGTTCCTGCTTAAAAGTTCGACAGATCTCTAGTACGGACTTCTTAATCGTTCCAATTATCCACATGTCAGTCTCCGTTTCCTTCACTTTCTTCTTAACCGATAGTTCTTTTTGGTTTGGCCACCTGCTGTTTTCTAAGTATTTACCAGTCAATTTCCTGGTTCGCTTCCTCCATTTTGTATCGACATTCTTCATGTACAAGTAGCCGAAAACCTTCCTAGCCTAACGCTCCTCCCCCATTTCTCTCAATCACTTCTCAAATTTCATCTTGCTGCCCGCTTCCCTGCCCTCAATTGATGTCCATCCCATATCACCTTGTACTCCTTGATTTAGTGTATTCCCGTGAGCTCCTAAAGCAAGCCTACCTATTCCACGTTGCTTAATTTCTAATCTTGCTTGAACTTCTGATCTCATGCACAAGACCGCATTGCCGAACGTCAGCCCAGGAACCATGACCACTTTCCATATTCCTCTCACAACATCATATCTATTGTAATTCCACAGTGCCCTATTTTTCATCACTGCTGCATTCCTGTTACCTTTAGTCGTCATGTATATTTCGTGTTCCCTTAGGTACTCGGTCCCATTGCTTTTTGTATTTATCTGTTATCTCTAGCGTGACCTCCTGTATTATAAGCTCACTACCTTCGTTATCATTAAAAATCATGACTGCTGATTTGTCCTTACTGAATCTAAAATCTAACCTATCTCTCTCATTACCGCAGGTGTCCATCAATCTCTGCAAATCTTCCTTGTTGTCGGCCATTAGCACTATATCATCTGCGTGCATTAATGCTGGTAGTGCCTGATCAATGAGTTTTCCTTGTTTGACTAAAGAGAGGTTGAAGCCGAGTCCACTTCCCTCTAATTTGGCCTCTAATCCTTGTAGGTACATCATGAATAACAAGGGTGACAGTGGACACCCCTGCCTAAGTCCCCGTTTCACCTCTGTGGGCTTGGATACCTGCTTTTCCCACTTTATAACTACCATGTTACTTTTATAGATTTCCTTTAAAAGATTAGTGACTCCGTCTTCCACACCCAGTGTGTCTAGTATTCCCCACAAGTCCTCTTGAACCACGCAATCATACGCTCCCTTGATATCCAAAAATGCTAGCCACAGGGGCCTGAGTTCCTTTTCTGCTATTTCAATGCACTGCGTCAGTGAGAACAGATTGTCTTCCAACCTCCTGTGTTTCCGAAACCCATTCTACAGTTCCCCCAGCACCCCCTCATCCTCTATTCATGCCTGCAGTCTTTCCTTTATAATCCTTTCCTTTATAATTAGTGTTGGTTTTTAGCGCCACTTGTGGCGGACGGTGCAACAACTCGACATTTTGCATAGCCTCCGAAATTACAGATTTTGGATAGCTCTTGAATACCACGGAGAAAGGAAAGTGTTGAATACTGACGAGCCTGTAGGGACCACAAGTAAAAAACGCCGTGATAATATTGTCGGTCGCGAGCGCAACGCCGTGGCGCTTGCTCGAAACTGAAGGCAGGGCGACTCCGCTGGCAACACGAGCCATTCGTCAGGCATCCTAATAAAAGAGGCGTTACCCAAACGCATAGAGTTTCATACAATAATACCTAGAGGGAAATCTGGCGCAAGTTCCTACGTGGGCTCTTTCAGCGGCGCTTGTAGTTGTACTCCCATGAGAATTATGGGAAGCATAGGCTTCGGACAACGTTACTGGATGAAACCATCCAGTAACGTTGGTTTTGGGAGACTGTGAGCGGCCACGCCGCTTCCGTGGCGAGCCCATGCAGTTTCCCAACTGGCTCCATCCAGTAACGTTGGTCCAAGGTCAATCTTGTGCGTCTACTTAGCTTTGCTGTCGTTTTGTAGTCGATTTAAACGAGTTTTGGCAAGACGCGCTCACGAAAAAAACGTGAATTAACTCGAATTGATATTTTGAACTGGCATAAGATGCTACATCTATGCACAGCGGTAAGTAGACGACGTAAGCTGTCAAATACGACTCCAAAGCCGCAGTAAACTTCATACCTAGTGGTCTTCAGCCTTTTTGAACAACAATGGCGCTGCTTCAGTGCCTTTGTTGTACCAACGCCTCCGTTGTTTATACCCACGCTGCGCGAAGAACGAAACTGAATCTGTAAAAAATACGCAGACAGACTAAAACACGATTGCAGCGCCAGGTTTCTTTGGAAACTCTAGCTCCAGAGGGAGAACTACTCACTCGATCGCTGTATTCCAGTACTCACCGTAGACGGCTAGGGTGCCACCCTAGCTCCGCTCCGAGAAGACCGCATCGTAGACAAATGCGATGCAGGCTACTTTGCTGTCTAAACAAGATGGCAGCTTAGCGAATCGCTCAGATAGATCAAATCTCGCCAGAATGGCCGTCTATACCAAGGAGGATTAAAAAAAGTTGCTGGAGTGGAAATGATTGCGCAGAAGTGAAGTCGTTCCTCTGGCAAGATGGCGGCTGTATTGGTCATCTTACTAGGGTCATAATAAAGTATCATCGTTGAGCGGTTAAAAACGAAGCGTTTCCCTCGCATGCCCAACGAGTTTAATGTGTTAACTTCGTCGGGTCACATAGTGCTCCAAGTGCGTCTTACACTTACTACTTTTCCTTAGTGAGCCTCTTATCGGACGCAAAGTTATTTGAAGATTCAGTCGCCCATACTCGTTTCTGTGTGTTGTTTCGTCGGGAACAACTTTCTTTTAATATAGAGCTAACGTAGAATTTACATAACATATGAAAACCACTTGATCTTAAGTGGGCAATATCAGAAAAGAGCATGTTTTCGCCATCTTGGCAGTGGCAAAAAGTGGCTTCACTTCTGCTGGCAAGGCATTGCGGGGCTTCCACTCCAGCAATTTTTCTTTAATCCTCCTTGGTCTACACACAAGCAGACGCTTTCCCAGACACTCAATGTGAGTGACGTTTATTTGTTTTTATTTTAACATGAAATAAGCCAGAAATTACAAGTATTACGTTTGTTTCTTTCAGCTTTTTTTCTCGACGTGAGGTGGCGCATCGTTGCGTAAAAGCTGTCTAAACGTGTTCCAATTTTCGGACAGCATGAGCTCGGTGCGTAGACTGTCAACGTGCTGTGTTAGAATTGGAACACAGCCACTGTAGTCATGGGATCTCACTGACAAAGTGATGGTGATGATAATGCAGTGGTGGTTGACTTTTTTGCTCTCTGTGGTGTAAATTGGAACTTGAGTGCTAGCGCGGCCGGCCCGCGAGCCCACCGTTCTGAAACAGGGTAGCGCGTGCATTCTCTTCGTTTTCATTTCGTGGCAGTTGGCTCGGTAACGACGTGGACGGTCTTGGAGAACGCCATTTCTAAGGTACGTCAGAGACGTTATCGAAGATTCGGCAAGATACAACGCCTCGGCAGTGCAGAGAAGTTGGCTGGGCGAAGAAGCAAATGTTTTGAGAGCACTGCTGGCAGACTGCATTCCTTAAACATGCCCACATCTGACGAAGCTTCTGCGCCTGTTATTTCTTACCGCCAGAAATATCGTAACCTAAAGCGCAAGTTGAAGTTTCTTCTCTACGAGAATGAGTGTTTCCAAGAGGAGCTTCGTAAGGCGCAAAGAAAGCTTCTCAAAGTGACGCGGGACAAAAGTTTTCTTCTCGACCAGATCCTTCAGTACGAGTCGATCGACTCGTCTTCGAGTGACTCAGATGCGACAGTATCTAGTGACAGCGATTCCGAGCTTCGTGTTGAACCACCACCACCGCCCCCAGCAGTGAAGAAAAAGAAGCCGTCGTCGGTGACCCCTGGGGAGGGCGGAAACGTCCATCACATTCCAGTGGCTAGCGTGTCGGCAACAGCGGTTCCCAGTGCAACTCCGTCTTGTTCGATACCTATTAAGACTGAAATTATAACACCGGGGCCGCTACCGGTCGCTACTACTTCCGCTGCATTGGGTGTCCTGCCTACGCTCGCCGCGAAGTCTGCCGTTTTATTGCCTCCCGGCGCATCACTGAATCTGACGGCTGACAAGAAGAAGAAAGTAGCCAGGGCCTCCAAGCCACCGACAATGACTGCACTACCGCATCCTAATTCGAAGCCCATTTTGGTCTCGGGCGTTCCGAAAAGGGTAGTGGAAGCGGTCGATGCGCTTTCGGTGAGTCGTCTGGACGGCCACATGACTTCAGAGGAAGTCGAGAGGCATCTGGAAGCGAGGCAGGCACTGCGCGATTTGCTTCCCGAGAAGGCTCCGCTCACAGTGCCGGCTGAGCTTTTCAGCAATGAACCACCGGCCGACCTACTTGACGGCGGGCCGCCCCTGCTGGCGCCTGGTGCCTGTGTGATGACCTCCACTGACGCTGAAGGGGACGACGACGAGCTCATTACTGGAATAGCGTAGCAGTGTTGGAGCGCATAGCAATTCGGAATCGCCATATGTGTAACATCTATACTGGACCGACACTCAAGGTAGAGCTCTGAAAGTCCGAATTATGCCGCTGTCCACTCTGTACAGTAAGGTATTTGCCCATTCACGGCTGATACATATGTGGCTTCCCTGCCGTACTTCTTGAAGTCTTAACATGTTTGAGAACATTTCACTTGTGTGATTTATAGCTGTGCTCTTAATATTGAATTGAATAGCACTGAATAATTTATAGCTTGTCTTTGGAAGCGTTCTGCTAGCTTTTTGTTTCAGGGCACAGTTTATTAAATAATGGGTCAGCAGTAACCCACACACTACTGTCAGTGAGAGACCCGAAAAATCGAGGCTCTTGAAAACATGCGGTTCTAACTCGGATTTTCATGTTCTGCGAAATTTTTTTTTAGGGATTGCTGTACAAGAAAAAGGTGTGCATTGAGCAGTGGCACTGTCGTGCTCCACACACATGAACAGTTGCATTGGCTGGCAAAATTTACCTCACCGCACAAATCTGCACATGCTGCAGCGAAAGGAACTCTAAAATGATCTAGGACAGGGGTTATTTTGGCTTTCTTTTTACATTGGTATTGTGTGTACCTTGTGAATACACAACTGTTTTTTTAAGGGTAAGAAGGTACATGCAACTAGAATAGCTAAGCTGAGGAATATTTGCCCATGGATGTGGAGAAACTGATTATTAGGTGTATTGGTCTGCAAATCTATGCTTGGTTTCCCTGAAGTGAACTTGCGATAATTTTTTACTGAACTGACTATAGTATTCTGGGCTACACAAAATGGCAACCATACACTCACCTTTGGCAGTGCGCACCTGTTGCCACCAGTTTGCACACTCCACGTCACACCATGAAGGAAGTGCACTAGCATCATTTTGCATGATTTTAAGCTTTCAGAGGATTGCATGCTGTACTGGGATTGTAAAATAGGATGTATAAAACTGTTCATTTACAACTTCTTGTGGCATAAGGTGAAGCAGTTCTTATATAGCATACAGAAAGGTGAAACATCTGGACAATGAGCATTTATAATAGGAAAGTCACAAAATTGAACTGCTGTTAGCAGTTTCAGTAGCATATATCCTCTTGTAAAGCTTGTGGAAAAATGCGAGTATGAAAAGTTGGATTAGTATTGAAAAGCAAAGCGGAAGGTTGGCATCTGTGCAAGTTACTCTATGTGTCTGATGGCATTTGTTTGAATGATTAGGGAAGTCTTGGTTGCTGTGTGAATGTGCAAGAAGCAAAGCAGAACATTTTTCTTTCTAGCAGCTCTGCTGTCTACAATAGTTTTATGGTGGGGATGAGGACATGTTTGACAATTGCTGTAGTGTGACAGGGTCACCTTGAGCAGGTTGTTAGCAGACAGTGTTGGTGAACTTGTATCAAATGCATCATCAGCAGCAGAAACCTGACTATGCCCACTGCAGGGCAAAGGCCTCTTCCATGATCTGCCAATCAACCCGGTCTTGTGCTTTCCGTTGCCATGTTATACCTGCAAACTTTTTAATCTCATCTGCCCACCTAACTTTCTGTCTCCCCTTCGGGCATTTGCTTTCTCTGGGAATCCAGTCAGTTGCCCATAATGACCGCGGTTCTTCTTCTTCTCCTATTCTCATTACTCTTACCCAATGCAGAGAATTGACCGAATGTTAGGTGAATTTTTGTGTGTGTGTGTTTCTTCGCATTACTATTTGTATATGCTAGGGATAGGTAACACAACAAATAATTACTGAGTATTATTTCTATATTTCAAAAGATAAATATTCATTTAGTATGACAATGGTTAGTATGACGATATATGCTCGATATTCTTTTAGTATGACTGATAAATTCCTCGATGGCGTAGTAAATATTCCTGGACTGTAGCCCAGAGTAGAGGTGCCAAATGATAGAACAACTGATTCGGATAATTCCAGATCCTAGTTTGGAAGAGGTGGTGCTATGAATCTTCTTCTCAATGACTTATACCGGCGTCAGAATAGAAAATAATGACTGATTGTTTCCTCCTCCTTACAGAAGAGACACAGAAAAGACAACGCTTGACTTGCTCTATGCAGGTAAAAGTTGAGGGAGGTAACCCGGCAGTGAGGTTTGGTTATGGCCACTTACATTATTCTCGACCGCGACAACTCACTGTTCCAAAGAAATGATAGGCGCTTATATTCTGGAGAAGCTGTCAAGACAGGGTCTGATAAGAATTTTTTTTAAGTTAGTGTGCGGAATTGTGCAGTTGTTATGTATGTTGTCAGTGGGAAAAGCGGAATGATTGGCATCAAAAGTGCTGCCTTTGCTGAAGAATCAGCGTTTTCATTTAAAAACAAACCCTTGTGTCCTGGTACCCAAATTAAGTGGAGACACTGTAGGTGAGCGGGAACTAGTATTCTGAAAAGCTTTAGAAGAGGCATTTCACCAGATGTAGAGAGAGAAGAACACACGTATAATGAGTCGGTGATGATTGCTACTACTGGATTTAAACTGGGTAACTTTTGAAGAGCTAATATTATGGCCATAAATTCAGCTATAAAAACTAGGATAAAATCTGGCAGTCGTAAAGAAAAAGACCAGTCAAGTTGAGGGCAGAATATTCCTATGCTAGTTTTTCCTCAATTTGAAATGCATCTGTTGCAATAAACACATTCGTTGGCAGATTATTTAGATGCTATTGTAATAGTCCATTTAAAATTCCGTGAGGTAAAAATTTCAAGTGCGGAAAAAATATTGTGGTGGACAATGTCTGTGAATTTAGGTTACATGGTCAAAGGACGTACATCACGAATTTGTACATTCAGGGAATCGAGTAATGTTTGTACAAATATGATTTTTGGCTTGCGGAATCTAGGCCAGTGCTCGGAGAAAAGTATATCGGGATTGGAGGTGAAAATTATTAGAGTATGATTAGACAGTGTTTCGTACAACTGTAAGAAAGTCTGCACCATAAGTAGGTTAAATCTGCTTAACAGGGGTGGTGTTCTAGCTTCCAGGTATAATACTGCATTCGCCACATATTTTGGAAAGCCTAAGCACAGCCGTAAAGCCTCTCGCTCTAACAGGACCAGTGGCTGAAGCTGGTATGCTGGCGCACCGGAAAAACTAACACAGCCGAATTCCAATACCAGTCGTACGTACATTTTGTAGACCATCAAAAGTGCTTTTCTTCCCATACCCGATCTGCGGCTGCTCAGCCTACACAATACACCCATTGTCCATGCACCTTTTGTTGTGATATATTCAATATGAGCTTGCCAGTTTAGTTGTTCGTTTTATATGACTCCGAGGTATTTTAATCATTCCACTTGCGGGATATCCTGCAGCTTGTAAGTTAGAGATATTCTCACCGATCGTTAACCGGAAAAACCAGAACAGCACACTTCTTGGCATTAAGACTTAACTGCAGTCCATCTAGCCACTTCTCGAGTTCACTTAAGCATGACTGTAAAGTTTCATAAAGGCAATGTATGTCAGCAGCCATAGCAAAAAAAGCAATGTCGTCCACATAAACATAAGCCTGCACCCCTGATCGAATAGGAATAGTGCACATCAAGATGTTGAATAATGCTGGTAAAAGTACTGATTCCTGGGGCACGCCTCGCGTCTGCTTGTGCTTGCCGGAAGAAAAGCTATCTTTAACGCAGTAAAAGTCCCTTTCATTTAAAAATTCTGTCACCCGTGCTACGATATAAGAAGGCAGTCCATGGCACCGTAAACAGTTTATTAACACAGAATGTTCGACACTATCGTATGCTTTACTGACGTCTAATGTAACTAACGCAGCGTATTGTTTTTTATGCCGGCCAATGTGAACCCGACTTTCAAGGTCTACGTGCGCATTTCAGATTGAATGTCCAGATCTAAAGCCAATTTGGCTGGGGCTCAACAGCTGTTGGTCATTTAAAAATGTTGTTATACGACCACGAAGGACCCTTTCAATAAGAGTTTCACTGCATTTGATGTTAATGCAATTGGTCTTATATTGTCGATATTATATCCAGTCCCCTGTTTTTTAAGCAGTGGTATGATTTCACAATCTTCCACTCATCAGGAGTAGTTTATTTTGCTGAACAGATCCTTGGGGAATTCCTGATATATTATTTTTAGCATTGAGTTTGTAATTCTGTCAGTCCCTGGTGCTGAGTTTGGCAACCTTAACATAGCCTGATCTAATTTGGAAATCGATACTGCTGTGTACTCAAAAATGGCTGGTGTATAAACAGATGGTGGAAGGCGCGTTGTGAATCTATTTTTTAACCCTTGAGCTAATTGATTTAGTGCTTCCTGTAATTCTTGTGAAGTGTAAACCACCGAGTCCACATTTCCTGGCATTGGAATTTTCTTTGTACAACATAGGAAATTGAACAGTGCTCGATTATTTTTTTTATTTAGATAGGTAGTCTAAGTGATTCTTATCATATTCCTCTTTCGTGCGTGATACTGTACGTTTGTTCCCGCAATGAATTGATAATCCTTCCAATTTTGTGGGCTCTGATTTCGTATAATATGTTTCCATGCCGCTTTTCTCCTTCTCAGTGTTCCACTATCGACTGGGTGGAGCAATCTTGGTTAACGCTGACGTAATCACAAATTCGGAAGTGTTTTTCGCCCACGTGCTATGTGCCCGGCCCATGTCCATTTCTTCTTGATTTCAACTATGATATCTTTAACCCCAGTTTGTTCGCTGACCCACTCTGCTCTCTTCTTGTCTTTTAATATTACACCTACAATTTCCTTTCCATCGCTCGCTGTGTCGTCCTCAATTTAAGCTGAACCCTCTTTGTAAGCCTCCATGCTTCTGCTCTGTAGGTAAGAACTGGTAAGATGCAGCTGTTGTATACCTTCCTCTTGAGGGTTAGTGTCAGAGTACCATTCATAGTTTGAGAATGCTTGCCGAATGTGATCCACCCCATCCTTATTCTTCTAGTTTTTTCACTCTCATGGTTCAGCTCCGCAGTTACTACCTGTCCTAAGTACATTTCTTTACAACGTTTAGGGTCTCTCCACCTATTGCAAAGTGCCGTTTTCTGCCGAGACTGTTGCATATTATTTTAGTTTTGTGCATATTAATTTTCAGACCTACTTTTCTGCTTTCCGCATCCCCTTCAGTAATCATGAGCTGTTATTCATCTCCTGAGTTACTCATCAAGACATTCTTGTAAGAAAAATCAATGGTTACTAAGATACTCTTCATTAACTCTTATCCCTAACTCTTCCCAATATAGGGTCCTGAAAACCTCCTGTAAGCATGCGGTCAATAGCATTGGAGAGATTGTGTCTTTCTGCCTTACATTCTTCTTTATTGAGATTATGTCGCTTTCTTTATGGAAAACCATGGTGGCTATGGATCCACTGTAGGTTTCTTCCAGTATGTTTATGTAGGGTTCTTCAATGCCCTGATTCCATAGGGCCTGCATTACTGCTGATGTCTTGGCTGAGTCAGACGCCATCTCGTAATCTATGAAAGCGATGTATAGGGGTTGGTTGTATTCTGTTCATTTCTCTATTACCTGATTGATAGTATGTATATGGTCTATTGTATGGATATGGCCTGTACGAAATCCTGCTTGGTCCTTTGGTTGAATGAACTCTAATGTCGGCTTTATTTTATTAGTTATTATATTTATAGATGTTTTGTAGAGAACGGGTAGTAAGCTGATCGCCCTGTAATTTTTCAAATCCTTGACGTCTCTTTTCTTATGGGTTAAGATGATGTTGGCGTTCTTTTAAGATTCTGGTGCCCTTCCCGTCAAGAGACACTCAGTATATAACTTAGCAATTTTTCTAACATGACTTCTCCACCATCTTTCAAGAGGTTCGTGGTTACCTTATCCTCAGCAGCGGATTTGTGTTTTTGCATTTCTTCTAGGGCTTTCCTTACTTCCCCTGTTGTTACTAGTAAGATGTCGAATTCCTCTGGACTATTATTGTTTCTCACAATATCATCCTGGTTGTTCTGGCTTCTGTACAGCTCTCTGTAGAACACCCTCTAATAGCACAGCTCGACTGGCCTCACTAGATATCGTTCTAGCGTTCATGGCAGCCAAGTTCAAATTCCAATAGTAGCCTGCCCGGACCCAGAGATTCTTAGCACCCTCCGCTACGTCCCAGGTCTGACCGCCGCCTTGGACAGTTGCTTTGCAGCCGCTGGGGACTAAGGGCCAAAGGTTAATTGCTGTATTCATGGGAGGTAGTGTCCAGGTACTGCACCAGGGTAGCCAATCCTGCTCTGGTGACTGAGTGCATTACCGGCAGCTGGTCGCCAGTGAGGCTACACCCCAGACCTCCCTTTTTTTTAACGATTCCTTCACCATGCGTTTTGAGTAAATATATAATTAGGAATAGTCCGGCATCTGCATACGAACCGAATTTTGTGATGGTATGCTAGGCTGCTGCGCTATCTCTAAGTAGGGGGTTTTGTTGCATTTTCTTAGCACTGTAGAACTGTAGATTACTACCTGACTGTATCCAATGCAACAGTGCCTAACTGGTGGTGCTTATGACCTGCTCAGTGAAGTTAGGAAAAGTTTGTGTGTTGCCTTGCTTATGATGTCTCATGTATTGAATGGGTTGTGATGGATATAATCAAGATGTATTTAGTAACTTTCTCCACGTTCAGGCAACATATTGCTCATAAGTTCGAATTTTGTCCGATACTCTCTATTTCTGTTGTAAAAAAATGCTTTTCATTCATGCTGAAATTTAAGGCCAAAAGCTGAGGAGCGCAATGCCTGGCCATGCTGCCATTGCAAAAGGCACAGCAACACATGTTCATCGCAGCTGTCTCTGGGCAAAGGAACGTGGGTGAATTTTATTGGCTTTTATCAGCGGCTTTTTTTTTTTTCAGGCTGACTAGCATAGCAACGTTTCATGAATGCAGGGCTACCTGTGGTATTGCATTTT